AAAAGGAAAGTAAGTTTGTCGTGAAGTGAAATTGTTGCCAGAAGAAGAAAGGAAAGGGCAGGACGGACTCTGAACGTGGAGAGAAAGCTGAGCAGGCTCCTGAAACAGGAATCTCCGGAAAGAAATTTTACATGTGATCAAGCTGGATGAGATTAAACAGAATTGCTATACGTGTTTTAAATTAAGCTTTAACAGTGTACTTACGTAAAACTGTACCTTAATTTTCTTTCGTCTGTTAAAATGACAAAGTTTGCTTGGGCTGTTGATCTGCTCCTGCTGAGAGATTGTGGAAATAATTTCCTGTGCTTTATGTTAAAAGCGGAATCTTTTCTACTGAAAGAGCTAAGGTTTCTGCAGCTGTGTAACCGTCTGTATTTGTCTTTGAAATCTCTTTCCCACTTCGGTTAACAGGATAATTAATAGTTGTTTCAAAATGTTCTGTGGTCCTGTCTGATCAAGAGTTCAAAACTTTTTGATATTTTTTAACAAAGTTCCCCAAAATCACGTTCTAAATAAGGTGTTTTTGACCTGGAAGTAACTTTGGGAGTTTCCAGAGGCCCCTGGACCTTCTCAAAGGCTTTGTTCTCCCTTCTAACAAAAAGGGAGAATTGGGCTTATTTGATATGTCAAACCACATGGAAAGTACTGTCCAATAAATGATAAACCTTGTTAGCTTATATTGTATAGGTGAACACCCTTAAAACAAATATTCTAGAGATTGTATGAGAATTCCTGAAGTTCTGGTGTGTCCTGCTATAATGTTATCAGCCATAATTCTCAAATATGTCACAAAAAGGATTAAATTTACTTGTCCATCACATTCTAACAAACCTTCATCAGATTCTTAACTGTTGTTCAGTCTTTTGTCACTTATAACAGTTATTGTTTTGCTCTAGTGCTTTTGCAGGTATCTTTTATCTTCAGAGAAATGCACGGAAAAGATGCTGATAAAGACTATGGAAGGCAAGCTTTTGGCAACTTTAAGGTTGTCACACTGGGCGGAATTTAAGGAGACCGTTTTCCTCTCTTCTTTGGGAAAATGTGTCTTTACCACAGGGTTAAACATTTACGTTTTCCTCCCGACTTGATCCCTGCAGAGTTTGGAAACTCTTAAGAATTCTTTCCACAACACTAAGTGTTTGCATGAGTTTAGTAAGAGTCTGTTCTGCTTATCACAGGATACAGTTAGAAACATTCGCTGTACTAACAGGGCTTCGACTGGAATGTCGAGGAGCCGACCGCAGAAATCAAGGACGAGGCAGGAGAGAGGGATGGTGTGGGGTGAACCCGGGCACCCAACCTGGAGGAGAAGCTAAAGATCCAGAATAAACCGGCACAATGACGACGGACCCAGCGCTCAGGGGCTGTGAAAGCTGGTGGGCTCTCAGACGACCGTTCTGTTCTGTGCTCCCGCCCCACACGTCCCGTCAGCGGGAACTTGAAAGCCGTCCAGCCCGGCCCGGAGCTCTCACCGTCGTCCCCTTTCCAACCTTCTGCCTCGTCCGTCACAGAGGCCTCGTCTACCTGCAGAGTCGCTCCCCACCCCCAACCTGAAGAGACCACCAGAGACACGGGACGCTTGACCCCACGGTGGGCTTGGAGTGAGCACGGGCCTGTCGCTCGTGGAACGGTCTCTCCGTCCCTGGAGGCATAAACCCCCAGGAGGAGTTGGACATCGGCTGGGGAGGGCACGTCTCTGCCTGGGCTCCGAGCCCACCAGGAGCGGGGCTGCTGCGGGGCTGCCTAGCGTGGTGGGACGGGGGTGGGGGTGCCGGGCGGACCCCAAGGGAGAAAGGAAGAGAGTCCCGACTCCGTTCTCGGGTAAGGGGCAGACAAGGCACGGCTCTGACTAAATGACTCCCGCAGGCTCCACCTGGTTCTCGAGGCCGAGGAAAGAGGGAATGGAGCATCTTTACCAAGAGGAGGCAGCTCAGACCACGGCACCCTTAGGAGCGGCCCTGGGCTCAGGGTCAGCCGGGCCCCCTCAGCCCCCACAGGCATCGTCACAGGGTGGACGGGGGGCTGTGAGCCGCGGTGGTGGCTGCCCTCCTCGCCACTCGAGAGCATTTGGATGGTGTCCAAAAATGTGGAGCTACAGCCTCAGGAACTTTCATAGCAGACACGGGCTGACACCTGATATGTGTGACTACTGCCCGTGTAGACGCTCACACAGTGCCCTGATGTGGTGGCTGTTTGCCCGTGTAGACGCTCACACAGTGCCCTGATGTGGTGGCTGTTTACCCGTGTAGACGCTCACACAGTCCCTGACGTGACTGTTGGCCCATGTAGATGCTCACAGGCCCCCTGCCCCTGCACCTGCCCTCTAGGGTGGAACATCCACATGCACTCCAGGCCCACGTTGGGGTGATACCGACCCTGATATCAGTTTCTCTCCATTAAACCCAGAATACATGGGGTTAAAACCAAAACACTAATTCCCTGCTTACTCCCTGGCTTCCTGGCTCCAGAATCCGCTATCCTCCATGGAGACAGACACCGCCAAGGACAAGCACCTGGACTATCTCCTCCCTGAAAGAGATACAAGCTGCTGGGAGAGCTGCTGACCAGCCAGGCCACGGGCTCCCTCCTCTCTGCCAGTGTCTCAAGGCCAAAGACAGGCCGGTGGGAAAGCTCCAACCAGCAGGCTATATGCTTCCCTTCCCCTACCGAAAACCCCAAATAAAAACCCTTCCTTTTAGCTTTTGGGGGAGTTTGGGATTTCAGCGTTAGCTGCCCTCTCTCCTTACTCAGTGCTGTGCAATAATAAAATTCCTCCTTTCTTCCACCACCCCCGGTGTCAGAGATTGGCTTGCTACAAAAACGGATGAGTGAACTCACTTCAGGTTCCACATCAGGGGCTGAGGGGTGGACAGCCGGGCGCTGGGGCTCCTGACGGGCACAGGACTCTGAGCAGAGTGGACAGCCCCACGGCAGGTCCTCATCCCGTGTCAGCCTTGCTGTCGCCTCTGTGTGGGAGAGATGTCCCTTGGCCCTCAGCGCCACAGGATGCGCCACGTGCACAGGGGTCCCATGGACAGCAAGCCGCCCAACACGGACAAGGGGCGGCCAGGCCGCTGGCGACTCCCTGGCAGGAACCAAGGAGTGGAAGGGGCAAGGGCCGTGACCAAGGTCAGAGGGCAGGGAGGGGTGGGGGGGGAGCTGTTCCAGTGTTTGGGACCAACGTCTCAGGGAATGAAATGGGGCGGGATTGGATGGACGGTGATGGAAGAGGACAGTGGTGGGACTGGGGGCTCCCAGGATGAATCCGAGGGATGGGGGAGCCAGAGGGAAGGACGCCCACGGTGGGGTCAGGGCCCAGAGGGAGGCGGTGGGGCCGGTGGAGGAGGGGCCTGTGGGCGGGGAGGAGGGAGGAGGGGTGCCGGTGGAGGAGGGGTCTCTGGGCTGGGAGGAGGGAGGTGGCGGGGCGCGTGGAAGAGGGGTCTCTGGGCCGGGAGGAGGGAGGCGGTGGGGCCGGTGGAGGAGGGGCCTGTGGGCGGGGAAGAGGGAGGCGGTGGGGAGGGGCCTGTGGGCCGGGCTGTGTCCCGCCGGAGGCAGCGCTGCTCCTTCCGGGGCCCGGGGGGACCGGTTCTGCAGCCTCCTCCATCCTGTGGCGCTTGCATTCCGTGACCAGATTCCCCGGCTGCAGCCCCTCCTCCACCTAAAGCCGCGGTGGCCGCCGGCGCCGCGTCACACAGTCCCTGATTCCCCCTCCGTCCGGCCCCGTGCGTGGCCCTTGTGGCTGCCGCGCCCGCCCTGGGGACGCAGGGGACGCCCCGACTTTAAGTGCCGCTGTCCTGCAGCCTCGATTCCCGTCTGTGGTGCAACCCACGTCCTCCCCGGTTTGGGGCATTTGCACAGTTTGGGCCGTGGTCCTGCGTCTCAGAGGCAGGAGAGAAGGGCTGGGGGAGGCTTGAGCGCGGGACGACCAGTGGACGGCAGTCAGAGCCTGGGCAAGGGGCGGGGTCTAGTCTGCAGGCAGCGGTACCCCGGATGGGGGTGCGGGGGTGGGTGTCAAGGTCGCAGGAGTTCCGGGCCCGTTTTACAGACCTCACCTGGGCTCTGGGCTGTGGAGGGACACGGGGAGAACGGGGCCAGGGAGGGGCTGCGGGGGGAGCTGGGTCTTGATGGAGGAAGGAGGGAGGGAAACTGAGGAAGGTGGGAGGGAGGAGGAGGGAGGGAGCTGAGGGACCTGAGTCGGGAGGAGGGAAAGCGAAGCCATGGGACGCGGTGGCACTGAGTGGACGTCCGCGTAGACAACCGCTGGCCCCGAGGCCACCTGTGGCCAGTGACCGAGGGAGGCAGGGAGCTGCCGGAACAGAGCAGAGAGGCCGCCATGGAGCATCCGGCGCACGTGCTGGCCCCAGGCAGCCCTCTGAGCCGCCTGTCCACTCGGGTCCCGACCGGTCTGCAGCCAGCGCGGGAGAGGCGGCGCACGGGCTCCTTGTGAGAGGACGGAGCAGATGGGGGAGGGGGCGCGGGACTGACCCTCCCGGGCTCGTGGTCACCCGGGCGTCAGGGCCGGGGTGGGCGTGTCCGCAGGTGTGCACGTGCCCTGGACACGCCCTTCCACCCTCGGGGGCCGACACACCCAGGTCAGGGCCAGGCCAAGCGCCGCTCGGGGCTGGGAGGGCCGGACGCTGCAGGAGAGCCCGCAGGGCAGCCCGCTGGCCGAGCGCTCAGAGGTCACGCGCGGGCGCCTGGAGGTGACGCAGCCGGAGCTCGAGGACGGTTTGGTTTGCTGCGGACCCGGGTCCGGAGTGACCGCAAGGGTGGACTGCGGCCAGAGCGCCGCCAGACAGTCAGGTCACTGTCACATCCCCGTTCGCTGACCACCGACTCGCTGGTCACACTCAGGCCGTCCTGACGTCCCGTCCTCTGACCTCTGACCCCGTGTCCCACTCGGGCCGTGCTGAGGTCCCCGTCCTCTGACCCCGTGTCCCACTCGGGCCGTCCTGAGGTCCCCGTCCTCTGACCTCTGACCCCGTGTCCCACTCGGGCCGTGCTGAGGTCCCGGCGAGGGCCGGGTTCCCGGCGCACGGTCCCGCCCTGGCGCTGGGCGCCGTCTGGGCGGAGCCGATGTCCGGAGGCGGCTGCCCCCGCGGGAGGCCGTCCCCGCCCCCAATCGCGGCGCCGCCAGTGTTTTCGGAAGCGCGAGCGCCGCCCGAGAGCGGAGGACGAGGCGGGAGCTGCTGCGGAGAGACTGCTGCGCGGTGTGAGCGCCCCTCCGTCTGTCCGTCTGTCCGAGTGCAGGGTCCCGGGAGGCCGGGCCCGCGTGGGGCGGGGGCGTCCCCGGTTCCTCCTGCCCCCGGGGCGCCGCGGAGGGCGGGGACCCCGTGGGCGCAGAACCGGGGGCGCCGTGTCGGGGCTGCGGCTCGCGGGGTGGACAACCCCCCCCCGTCTGTGCCGCCGGCCGCGTGGGCGGGAGGCCGGGCTGACCGGGTCGGTCCGTCCTCACCCGCTGGGCCGGCCGCGGGGTCGGGGTCGGGGTAGGGGGAGGGGAGCCCGGGGGTCGGGGTCGGGGGAGGGAGCCCGCGGGTCGGGGGGGGGGAGGGGAGCCCGCGGGTTCGGGGTCGGGGGAGGGGAGCCCGGGGTCGGGGTCGGGGGAGGGGAGCCCGGGCGTCGGGGAGGGGAGGGGAGCCCGGGCGTCGGGGTCGGGGGAGGGGAGCCCGCGGGGTCGGGGTCGGGGGAGGGAGCCCGGGGTCGGGGTCGGGGGAGGGGAGCCCGGGGGTCGGGGTCGGGGGAGGGGAGGCCGTGGGGTCGGGGTCGGGGGAGGGGAGGCCGCGGGGTCGGGGGAGGGGGAGGGAGCCCGGGGTCGGGGTCGGGGGAGGGGAGCCGCGGGGTCGGGGGACGGGGGAGGGAGGCCGGGGGGTCGGGGAGGGGAGGCCGCGGGGTCGGGGACGGGGAGGGGAGCCCGGGGTCGTGGTCGGGGAGGGAGGCGCGGGGTCGGGGTCGGGGAGGGGAGGCCGCGGGGTCGGGGTCGGGGAGGGGAGCCCGGGGTCGGGGTCGGGGGAGGGGAGGCCGCGGGGTCGGGGACGGGGAGGGGAGCCCGGGGGTCGGGGGAGGGGAGCCCGGGGTCGGGGAGGGGAGCCCGGGGGTCGGGGGGGGAGCCCGGGGTCGGGGAGGGAGCGGGGTCGGGGGAGGGGTCGGGAGGGGAGGGGAGGCCGCGGCCCCGGCCAGGGCTGCGCGGGCTGGGCCTGAGCCGTCCTGCGGAAACCGGGCTCCGGGGCGGGGCGGGGGCGGGGCGGGGCGGGGCGGGGCGGGCCCAGGGTCCCCGCCGAGGCGCCGAAGGCCGTGGAGCTGCGCCGGGAGCGGGGCCACCTGGCGGCTCGGGGTCCGCGCTCAGGTGCGGAGACGCACCTGCTCTGGCCCCTGAAACCAGAGACCGGAGGGCAGCGACCCAGCCCTGGCCACCGGGGGTCGGGGGGGACGGCTGCGGGGGCAGGGCCTGCGCCCCCACGGCGGGTACCATTTTTCTCTGATCATTGGCGAACACAGGACTGTTGCTGTAGAGGGTGGACTGTGGCAATGGAGGACTATTACTGTAGAGGGCGAACTCTGATAATTCAGGAGGCCTGTTACTGTGGAGGGGGGACCATGATAACAGACAGAGACGACTATTGTAGTGGGGGAATGTGACGTTAGAGGAGAACATACTGTATGGGGAACTGTGACAGTAGAGGGGAGCTATTACTGTAGAGGGGAACTGTGATAAGAGAGGGGAACTGTGATCATAGAGGTGGACTCTTTCTGTAGAGGGGGATTGTGGCAGTAGATGGGACTCTTACTGTAGAGGGGGGACTACACAATAAAGACAACTCCCCAGCCCAGCTCTGTTAACCTGTGAACAGGTGGGTAAAGGGGTTTCTGTGGAGACAGTAAACCAGTGCCAGGGGTGTGGGCGGGGCAGGGGGGCCGGCCTGGGTGGTGGACAGAGGGCCTGTGGACTCCGGCACCCTGAGGCGGCGTCTGCTGGAGGCTGGGGTGCTGTGGTCAGCTCTGGGGTGGAGATGGAGGACGTGGCAGTGGCCGCCCTTGCTCTGAGGCTTGTGGGACAGGCTTTCGTCGTGGCGAGTGCTTTAGGGTCCGGTACATGGCCTGGAGCCAGGCTGGGAACGGGGTCCATGCGGCCTTGACGGTGGACGGGGGCCGGGGTCTCCTCTAGGTCTCAGGGGAAGGGCCCTCGCAGGAAGCTTCTCGCGGACACAGGGGTGTGAGTGTGTCCCTGACCCTCAGGTGACCTTTGATACTGTCGGGGGCCACCGTCCCCGTTGTAAGTGGGGAAACAGAGGCACAGGCTGGAAGCGAGCTTGGGGTCCCAGGGGTCGCAGTGCAGGGCTGGCACGCTTGGCTGGTCTCTCTCTCTGTCTACAGGGTGTTCCAGGCTCCCCTTTTTTCCGCTGTGCAAACCCTGTGTCGTTTCGCAGGTCAGTCGTGCGGGCTCCTCGATGGGCGGGCAGCTGAGCGCACCTGGCGGCGGCGGGAGCCTGCCACGCCCCGTGAACGCGGACTGGATGTCGGCGCTGTGCCCGCGGCTCTGGGACGTGCCCCTGCACCACCTCTCCATCCCGGGTGAGCGGCTCTGTGGCCGGGGGGGTGCTGGCTGTGGGCTGGGCTGGGCTCCACCAACCACACACGTGTGCACACGCAGGTACACACGAACACGCGCACACACACACACACACACACGTGAGCAGCTTCATCTCAGACTCTGGCCTCCGGGACGGGGGAGGGTGAATTCTGTGGTTTAAGCCCCCAGTTTGCGCTCCTTCGTCACAGCTGCCCCCGGACACTCCCGCCCCGATCACCTCACCACCGAAGGCCCGAGTCCCCGTGTGGGGTGGAGGGTCAGGTGCCGGGCGTGCGGGGACAAGGCAGAGGCAGGCGAGCCCGGCTGGGGTCCCAGCTCAGCATTCGATGCGCCTCGGGACCCTCCTTGCAGCCCTGCCGGCCGGCGGCCACTTCTTCCTGGGGGTCCGGCTCCCTTCACCTCGCCGTCTCTGCCTGCCAGGCCCGGGCTGGGGCGTCCTTCCCGGGCCCAGGTCCCTCCCACCAGGACCACCGGCCACCGGGGCGTCGCGAGGGCACGGAGTTGGGCGCCCGCGGGCGTGTTCATGAACAAGGCCCAGGCGGTGTGAGAGCAGAGACGAGGCCGCCGACCGCACGACCAGACTGAGAGGTGTCGTCCACGCGTGGGAATCCAGAAGACGCTGTTCGTGGCCGAGTCGACCCGTCAGAACAGGAAATGGAAACACCCGCCGTTTACAGAAACAGTAAAATGTGAAATGCATGAGGCAAGTGGGACGATTTGCCGGCTGCAGATGAAGGAAAACGGAGCCTCCGGTCGGGAGTCGGGACGAGGATGCGACGGAACGAACGAGAGATGCACCTCCAGGTCGACAGAATGGCCCCTTCCCGCCCGTCCGCCGGGACGAAGGCGGTGCCGGCGTCAGAGCGTCTGAGAAGGGAGAGCAGGACGGGCTCTGATGTGCTCAGTGGTGACGTGCAGATTTCACACGCAGATGACACGGGGCGTTTGTAAAGCTCCCCTCACCGTCCAGACCCGCTGTCGGTGACGCTCCAGGTCGGTGGATCCGAACATTGAATTCAAAAGTGGCTACAACTCTGAGAATGTAACGTCTTATAAACGAGGAGGCGTTTCACGTCTGCGCACACAGGGTTCCCTCGACGGTGAAGAGGCTCCAGGTGGCTAATAATGTGGAGGGGGGATCAGGCGAGATGCCGTCTCATGTTTTACAGGGAGACGTGTCACAGAATGTTCAAAGATTTAAGTGAAACATAAACCACAAAGTTCTGTCGGAAGAGACAGGTAAACAGGCCCAGATACTAGCTTTTCTGAGGAAAACCCCAAGCGCAGGAGCTGGGGAGGAAAAGGCGGGCAGACTCGACTCCTAAACAGACATTGAGGTCTCCCCTCATTAAGAAACTTAAACGCTGAGGACAGTAAACCCCGTAACGGAGCCGAACAGCGTCCTCAAGATGTCGCCACGTCCTCGTCCCCGCGGGGCAGGCAGGACACGGCCCCAAAGACGCCCGCACCCTCGTCCCCGGAAGCTGTGGATACGTTTGTCTCATGACAAAAGGGTCTTTGCAGAAGTTGGTTCCTTCAGGGTCTTGAGGTGGGGGATCTCTTTGGATTATCTGGGGCTCAGTGTGGCATCGAGGGTCCTCGTGGGAGGGAGGCAGGAGGGTCACAGAGGAGGCAGGAGGAAGATTCTGTGCTGCAGGCTGTGCAGAAGGAAGGGCCCGAGCCCAGGAGGCGGCCCCCAAAACGCTGGAGAAGACAGGAGACAGTCCTCTCAGACCCCCCGGAAGGAACCTGCCGGGCCCACACTTAGACTTCAGACCGTGTCCGATTTCTGGCCTCTGGAACGGGTAACACGTCTCTGTTGTTTGAAGCTGCCTCGTTTGTGGGGCTTTGTTACAGGGGCCCCAGGACCCTTGCACAGCCACCCAGACGGTGGATCCTGCATGGTGAGTCCCTCCTGGGGCACTGCCTCACCTGAGGGTGCTCCTCTCACGTCCTTCCCAGAGGCCACCTGCCCCCACGAGGGGATGCAGAGGATGGAGCCCCCGGGACGGGCGCCTCCCTCTGCCCTCGCCCTGGCTCTTCCCAGAGCAATCCCCACTGTCCCCCACGTGCCGATCTCGTCCCAGGACACCCAGCCCATGAGGAACCAGAAAACCACATCCACACGCACGTCACGCACAACAGGCCAGGGCTGCTGTGTCCACATGGGGAGGGTTAGGAATTGGCCAATGGCATGTGCTCCCCAGCAGAAAGCCGCCGAGCCGGACGGACGATTCTGAGGAGAAACCCTGACGACTGGGACATCACGAGGGGTGGCCCATGGGATGAACTCAGTGACGCAGCGTCCAGAGCGACCAGCAAAGCTGGGAGTGTCGGTGCCAAGGGGCCTGGGGGGCGGCCGCAGGGTCCCCTCCGGTGGGAGAGACTCGGGATGCCGGCAGAGGGCTGAGGGCTGCACACTGGGCTCCTCCCGCGCCCCCACAGTCTACTTCAAGGCTCCGTCTGCAAGGGGGGCTCCGTGGGTGTGCAAACCACACGCACCCACGTGCTCACAGCGAGGCTGCCTCCATGGGAGACGCCAGCCCTCACGCCCGGGATGCTGTCAGGTGCACACGCGGCCACGTCACTGCGGTGGACACGGGCGTTAGAACAGATGAAGGCTCCGGACTGACTGCTGCACAAAACGCGAGTAATGTGTGAGTGAAACAGCAGAGAAAAACCTGCGTGATTCGGTCCTGTTTGAAGTATCTGAGAAAGAATAGATAACAAAGTAAAATGGGTCATCCCCATGTATAAATGGACCCATATATATCATATTTAAAATATATAAATATGTAACACATAAAAAACATATAATGACAATGACAATAGAGGATTTTAATGTTTTTACTTGTCTATATTTTCCTCATTTTTCTGCAATTAACATGAGTTCCCAGGTGTGTGACTGTCCTGGGGCGGCTGTGACAAATGATCACAAGCTGGGAGCTTAAACTCCCGGGATCCGTCCTCCCCCGTCCTGGAGCCCAGAGTCTGGGGTCAAGGGTCGCAGGGCCGCGCTCCCTCCGGAGGCTCCTGGGGAGGGTCCCTCCTGCCTCTTCCAGCGTCCGGGGCTCCAGGGTCCCTGGGCTGGTGGCCGCCTCCCTCCCGTCTCTGCCTCCGTCCTCACGGGGCTGCTCCTCTGCGTCTGCGTCTCCTCTTCTGTCTCTGAGAAGGACGCTGTCCTTGGATTCAGGGCCGCCCCCTCCAGGAAGCCCTCCTCTCCAGCCTTGATTCAGGGCCGCCTCCTCCAGGAAGCCCTCCTCTCCATCCTTGATTCAGGGCCGCCTCCTCCAGGAAGCCCTCCTCTCCAGCCTTGATTCAGGGCCGCCTCCTCCAGGAAGCCCTGCTCTCCATCCTTCCCTTCATCACCCATGCAAAGACTCTGTTTCCACACAGGTCCTGGGAGTGGGTTTGGCGGCCGTCACCCACCCCCTGTGTGCACCGTCCCCGTGTGCGGCTCTGAGCACAGGGGGCAGGAGGGGCTGGTGGGTGACTGTCTCCTTGGTGTCACTGCAGGGAGCCACGACACGATGACCTACTGCCTGAACAAGAGGTCCCCCATTTCCCACAGCCAGTCCTGGCTGCTGCAGCTTCTGGGCAAGCTCCTGCCGTGCGTCACCCGGCCCATGGTGCTCAAGTGGTCCGTCACCCAGGTTAGGGTCTGCACATGTCAAGTGGGCTCCTGAGCAGCGCGCAGCGCCGTCCTGGCTGGGTGGCACCTGTAACCGGGAAGGAGAAATGGAATGGAACACAAACCTCCTCCAGCCCAGAAAGCCCCACCCCCACAGAGGTCAGGGAGAAAGAACGGGGTTCACTAGTGAACAAGGAAGGGACCAGGCGTGATGTGTGTCACAGGCAGCCACTGCAGAGTGCAGAGGCAGACGGAGCTCCACCTCGCACGTAGCTAAGCAGAACACGCGTCCCATCATGTTCTAAGGGAAACAGTCACTGACTTCCCACGTCTTTGTGAAGGACGTGGGTTAACAATTGGGAGCCAAGCCCTCTCGTCCCAGGAGACAGGCGTCTCCTTCCTGGACCGCATGTCAGAGACGCTCCCCACCCTGGAGGACACATTCCTGAGCTGTAGAATGGTCCAGACGCTTGTTCAGATGTGCACACGCTTGAGAAAGTTGGAGAAAAACTTATCCACTACAGGGTTTTTCCACTCGATGCTCCAGGAGACGGAGTGAGGGCACCGTCTCTGCCCGTGTGTTTGGAATTAAGCCTCTCCTTGAATGGGGTCGCCTCACATCCCTCGTCCTCAGCCCTTCCCTCGTGCGGATCAGGGGGTTTAGGGACGTGAGCAGCTGGGAGGGGGAGGAGAGGAAGGGCCCCCGGAGTCGCTCAGGTGGCCCAGGCTGCGGGGCAGGGGCACCCACTGCTGTGGTCCCGTCACCGTGCACACACGGGCACCAGGGTGTCAGGAAAGGGAGCCAGGTGCTGGCCGGAAGGAAGGCGGGGCCCAAGGGGGACCCGGCCGACCCCAGCCCCCTCCCCCCCCTGCCCGGGCCACGGGCTCCGAGGGGCCGCCCTTCGGGCTCGGCTTGTCCTGCGTGATTGCTGGGCTCCCAGCTGCGGTGTCATCACTGGGGTGGCCGGAACCCGTGTGGGACGTGCAGGGGTGGAGGGCGTGCGCTGGAATGTCAGGGAACCACGTTCCCAATTGTGTCACAACGGCCACCTCAGGCCCCGCGGGACGGGAGCAGGTCACAGCAGCCCGGGGGGGTGCTCACAACGCTGGGTCCCTCGGAGCAGGTCCTCGGTGCTGGTGCCTCAGAGCTGGGTCCTCGGAGCGGGTCCCTCGGTGCTGGTGCCTCAGAGCTGGGTCCCTCGGAGCGGGTCCTCGGTGCTGGTGCCTCAGAGCTGGGTCCTCAGAGCGGGTCCCTCGGTGCTGGGTCTCTCGGTGCTGGGAGGCCGGCCCGGGCTGCTGAGCCCAGAGGGGCTTCCCCGGGAGGAGGGGGCGGGCCCTCGCGGGGACATCGGAGAGGGGGGTCAGGGCTGAGGGGCGTTGGCTGCAGGGATGGGGAGGACCGAGCGCCCCGTCCCCGGAGAGCGGCTTCCCCGGTGGAGGACGGGCGCTGCCCGACCCGCGGGGCACCCACACAGCTCGGTCCGACCCGGGGTCAGCGCTGCGGCCCCGGGGTGGCGTCCCGGCCGCACGAGGCGGGTGCGAGTCAGGGTGGGAGCTCCGGCCGTGGCGGCAGAGCTGACGGGCGTCCGTCCGCAGGCGCTGGACGTCACGGAGCAGCTGGACGTGGGCGTGCGCTACCTGGACCTGCGCGTGGCGCACGTGCCCGAGGGCTCCCGGAGGAACCTGCACTTCGTGCACTTCGTCTACACCACGGCGCTGGTGGAGGTACGGCCGGCCGGGGCGTCCCCGCGAGTTCCGCACCAGCCTGCGCGGCTGGGTTCGCACCGCCTCCCGCCCCTCCTGGGCCGCTGGGTCCGAGTGAGGTGGGTCCCGACTCGGCCTCCTGCCCGATGGGGCCTCCCGGTCTCCTCCTCGCGGCTGCTCGACGGCGTTTCCAGGGTCTGGCGGCGGCGCTGTGCCGTCTGTCTGGCCTCGGACTCGCGAGCGCCCCCCGCAGCCCCCGGGCCTCGGCGCTGGAGCGGCCTCCGCGGGCGCGCACGCCTCCGTCACCCGCTGCCCACCCGCGCCCGGAGCCTCCAGACTCACCCCTGCACACACAGTGCCGCGTCCACAGCGAGCACGCACACACACGCACGCCTGCACAAGTGCACGCACACGCACGCACGCACGCTTCTCCCCGGAGCGAGGGCAGGCGGCGCGGCTGCGTTCCCCAAGCTTTGTGTGTTTGCTTGTCCGGGACGGGCCATCTGTCGGAGTTTGCGCAGGGACGCCCGCGGGAGCGTCCTTGTCCCCGGGCCCTGACGCGCCCTCCCCCCAGGACACGCTCACCGAGATCTCGGAGTGGCTGGAGAGACACCCGCGCGAGGTGGTCATCCTGGCCTGCAGGGGCTTCGAGGGGCTGACGGAGGAGCTGCACGAGTACCTGGTCGCCTGCGTCAGGAACATCTTCGGGCACATGCTGTGTCCGCGAGGGGTGAGCCGGGGCCGCAGCCTGACCTGACCGGGACGGCGGGTCATCACTGTGTCCCCTTACAGACGCCCGGCGTCTCCCGTCTCTGTCTCTACAGACGCCCGGCGTCTCCCCGTCTCTGTCTCTACAGACGCCCCGCGTCTCCCGTCTCTGTCTCTACAGACGCCCGGCGTCTCCCGTCTCTGTCTCTACAGACGCCCCGCGTCTCCCGTCTCTGTCTCTACAGACGCCCGGCGTCTCCCGTCTCTGTCTCTACAGACGCCCCGCGTCTCCCGTCTCTGTCTCTACAGACGCCCGGCGTCTCCCCGTCTCTGTCTCTACAGACGCCCGGCGTCTCCCCGTCTCTGTCTCTGCAGACGCCCGGCGTCTCCCCGTCTCTGTCTCTGCAGACGCCCGGCGTCTCCCGTCTCTGTCTCTGCAGACGCCCGGCGTCTCCCGTCTCTGTCTCTGCAGACGCCCCGCGTCTCCCGTCTCTGTCTCTGCAGACGCCCGGCGTCTCCCGTCTCTGTCTCTACAGACGCCCGGCGTCTCCCCGTCTCTGTCTCTCACACACGCCCCTATCTCCCCCTCAGGAGGTGCCGACGCTGCGTCAGCTGTGGGCGCGGGGCCAGCAGGTCCTCCTGTCGTACGAGGACGAGCGCACGCTGAGCCGGCACCGCGAGCTGTGGCCGGGGCTCCCCTACTGGTGGGCCGACCAGGCGAAGCCCACGGAGCTGGTGCGCTACCTGGAGCACATGAAGAGCTGCGGCCGCCCAGGTGGGGCAACGTCCTCGTGTGCTGTGGGCACCAGGCTGCTTTCATACAAACACGGGTGCACACGTGTGTAATATTGGATGTGTACACGCACACGCCTGGCACATATGCATGAGTGCCAACACATGATTGAGATACATGTACACTGCACACATGCGCACACGTGTCCACACACACGCCTCCACGTGCACACACACTGGGTGGAGTCTGGGCAGTGCAGGCTCAGACCCCCGCCGGGTCCTGCCTCAGCTCCGCGTGACGGCCACGTGGATTCGCGGGGCCCCTGTGTCCGTCTGAGGATGCCACCGCCCGGCCCTTTGCTGCGGCTTCTCCTCCCTGGTCTCAGGGTTTGTGAGCTTTTGTAAGGAAATCGGCCCTTTTCTGCAAACACGCCATGAATAACCCGCGGGTGATGCTCAGACGCTCGGCGGTGCTTTTGGCCCCAGTTCCCACGAAGCCGCATTTCCGTAGCATGAGATTTGTGTCCTCAGGGAAGGCAGCCCGAGGAGCAGGCGGCTTGTGACGGAGTCTCCCATCTCAGCATCCTGAACGGGATGACATCTCAAAGTCCCCTTTGCCACATAGAGTCACATGTTCACAGGTTCTGGGGAGGAAGGCGTGGACGTCTTTGGGGATGTTATTCCTCCCGCCATCCTCTGTAAGAGGAGAAGTTCAGTGAACTTGACCCCTTAGTTGAGCTGTGCTGTCAGAACCCTCATGTCCGTGTGGATTGAAGCTCTGAGCACGAGAACAGGGAGGGAGCGGTGGTGCACGGTGTGGCCGGGACGCCCGCAGCACCGGGGACCCCTCTCTCCCTGTCCTGTTTCAGGCGGGCTGTTCGTGGCGGGCATCAACCTGACGGAGAACCTGGAGTACGTCCTTGTGCACCCAGCCGGGTCCCTCAGGAAGATGACGCTCCCGCACCTGGCCTACCTGACCGCCTGGGTCCGCGAGCAGAGCCCCGGGCCGGGTGCGCGCTGCACCAACGTCATCGCGGGCGACTTTGTGGGCGCGGACAGCTTCATCAGCGACGTCATCCGGCTCAACGAGAAGCTGCTCCCGTGCTGACCGTGTCCTTCCCCCAGCTCGTCAAGCGTGTGCCACCAAGATTCGCCCTTCATTCTCCTTTCCACGGCTGTTTGGGCTGCACACGGGGAGGCGAGTGGAGTCTGGGCAGCCGGGGCCAGTCCCTCAACCTCCTCCTGACTCAGGGCGTCCCCACGGGTGGCGCCTGGCCTCACTGTCCTTCGGCCTGTATTTGGGGTGGATTCCATGAACATGCTGATGATTGGAGCTGACCACGCGGCCGTCCTCAGGGAGGAACGACTGGGATTTGGGGTCAGTTCTCCCAGGTCCAGTCTGGCTGGGCCCCCGCGAGAGGCTCCGAGGCGCCCTCCCCTGGGGCTTTGCAAGCAGCAGAACGAGGTCCTGGCAGCTTCGAGGGCCCATTTGGAGCCCTGTGGCGCCGCCTGTGCCCTGTTCCAGCTGCTCCACCAGCCCTACCTTGGGGAAGGCCCGGCCCGCCTCCAGACCCTGGTGGGAGGCCGCCTGTCACTCACGCGCCCCTGAGACCCAGCGTCTGTTCCTCATCTGGCGTGGGCCTCTGCCACACCATAGTCATCCCCTTTCTCCAGCGACCATGGGGTGCAGTCGGTTTCCCGGCTCCTCCGTTCTCAGTTTCGGGGACTTTCTGTCTGGGGGCATCCCGTGGTCCCAGCCATGATGACATTCACTGTATTTCTTATTTTCCGTGTTCTTGACTCTCTGGTGTTGGGGCCTCGCAGGCCTGAGAGACGGCCCCTCCCAGGGTGAGCGGATTCCCAGGGATGAAAGCCACTTGCTGGGGTCTCGCCTCTCAGATGCCAGCTGGCCCCGCGGTCTCAAACTCCGGTCCCACAAATACCTGCTCTCGGGCACGTGGCCTCACAGATCTGGCAGCGCAAGTTGTCGGCCGAACGATGGGCCCCAACCACCCTCCCTATCTCACTTCCCTCCTGAGAGGACACCCTGGACTCTTGTCTGGCTTGAGTTCCGGAACATTCCTCCTATAACGGAGGGGCCCTGGGCATTAGGGTTTTTTCAGGTTTTGAAAATGAATTTGAACCAAAATGACTACGTGATCCACGTTGGAGGGTGTTCCCTTTGGGACCCAATTAGCCATTTTCTAAAAGAAAATCCACGTGTGCTTTTGGCCTCAGGATGCTGGTACTGAAGGAGGGCGCCTGGGATCCAGAGAGAGAGACTTGGGGGACGTCCTGCCAGCTGCTCAGACCCGGACTCTGCGGGGTCGGCATCGACCCACCGGGCTTGGTGCTCGTGGGGTTGAGTCAGACGGAGGAATGTGTTTGATACTGAGGGTCACATCGTGGCGATCGTTTCCCTGTAAATCCTTTCCCTGATCGTCTCGCAGCCCCGTCAGGAACGATTCAAGGAGTCAATTCTGCAGAAAAATGAAAACACAGCAAAGTCAGATCAGTTTACGGATTTTTGTTCCCGTTAAACGACCGGGCGTTCTGGGGGCATCTCGATAATCCGCAGAGATGTGGACTCGACGGCGCACTCTTTTCTGGTCACTGAGAGTTTTTACAAACAGCCGAGTTGTGCCTCTTCCCCCCTCCGTTTGTGTCTGGAAACAAGGACGGGATCAGAGTTTGGAGTTTTGTGCTATTTTGGGCCCGTCTGTCCGTGGGGACATGAAGCAAAGACTTTTACTTTTAGAGATTAGTTTTGGAGACTTCCGTACTCGCGGGACGCGTTCCGCCCCAGGGATCCTGCTGGCGGGGCGGCCTGGTGGCTGCGAGCTCGGACCCCGGCCGCGGGAAGAGCTCGGACCCCCGCCCGCGGGAAGGGCTCGGACCCCGCCCGCGGGAAGGGCTCGGACCCCGCCCGCGGGAAGGGCTCGGACCCCCGGCCGCGGGAAGAGCTCGGACCCCGGCCGCGGGAAGGGCTCGGACCCCGCCTGAGCGTTTCAGCCAGTGCGGCCGGGCAAGCGCCGAACCAACGTTTGTTGAGTGAACGCTGGTCAGCACGGTGCTGCGCGCGCTCGCCCTCTGCCGTCTCTGGACCATCCCACGTCGGACGCGCGGTGGGGCCGCCCAGCACCTTCCCGCTCAGACCCCCTGCGTCCTCCCGCGGCCCCCCACCCCCCCCCACCCCCCCGCCACACATCTGTGCTCAGGCCCCGGCTCCTCCGGGCGCCGCGGGCCCAGGTGGGGGAGGGGAGAGGCCCCGGTGTAGAAAGAGGGTCTCGCAGAGTCCGGTGCGGGGCAAGTGGGTGCGGGCGGTCTCGAACCAGCTCCAGCTGCACCGGAACCTTGACCCCTCTCCCGGGTCCAGGAGACCCCGCCCCCACCCCCCCATCCCTGCCTCGTCCTCCTCGGGGAGGCCCTGCTTGGCCTGCGCCCCGCTTGCGGGTCTGGACCCTCAGTCGCCCGCTGTGGCTGCGGCTTTGCCCCCCTCCTGGGGTCCTCCGGGAGGAGGAGGGGACGCCGGGCATCCGGGGCTCCTGGCGGAGAGGCCGGGACCACCCTCTGCAGGTTCCTGTGCCCCCGGATGCGGAGCTTGGGGGCCGGACCTGGGTGGGGGTTGGGGCGGCCCGGCACAGGGGTCCCCCCGAGAGGACGGCTGGGGGGCCCAGGGAGCCTGTGGGGCTCATACCAGGGCCGCCCGGACAGCGAGCGGACAGGCTGGACCCCGGGGCACGAGGACACTGCGCCGCCCCCTGGGGTCTCTCCAAAGCCCCTCGGGGTCGGCCCGCGGGAACCAGTCCCGGGGCTGCGGGCGTCCTGGCCGGGTCACCCCTCCTGGAGGAGGCGGCGGTGCTGCGCCCAGGGGGCCACCCCGGTCCCCCTCCAGCTGGCGGGGCAGACGGGGCTGCAGGACCCGCGTCCCATCCCGCTCAGGGCAGCCAGGCGCTCAGGCCTCTGGGGGGAACGGGAAGTCAGGCCCTCATCCTGTCAGCTCTGCGCGTGGGGGTCCCGGGGCTGCCACCAGACGCCACAGCAGTGGCCTCAGACCACACTGTCCTCCCCCAGGTCTGCAGGTCGCAAGTGGCACGCGGCTGTCCCCAGGCTGCAGTCCAGGCGTCGGCAGGGCGGTGCTCCCGGAGGCAGCAGGGCAGGATCTGTGCTTGTCCTTTCCGGCTCCGGGGCCACCACGGCCCCGACCTCCGTGTGCACAGCCAGCGCGGAGCCACCTCGGGCTTCCTCTCGTGACACCTCTGCCGTCGGACCCCACTGCCTCCCCCTGATGAGGAGCCTGTGAGGACGGGGGCCACCCGGACCCTCAGGATCACCTCCCAGCTCAGCATCTGGAACTGATCAGATTGGAAGACTCCTTCTGCCGTTACAGGGTCTGGGGACGAGGATGTGGACGTCTTTGGGGACGTTATTCTGTCTCCCACACGGGGATCAGGACGTGGACGTCTTTGGGGACATTATTCTACCGTCTACCCAAACTCCCTCTCCACATACGGCAGGGTTAGACGCCAGGTAGGGAAGCTTGGGAGGCACAGGCACTGAGGGAGCAGCAGTGAGGGAGTGAGGGGCCCTGGGCGTCTGTACCAGGGTCGTATAAACAGAGAAAGTTTTCTCCCGTCCTGAGGAAAGTGCACACACCCCCTTCCTGTGATGCTCGGAAGGAAAGGGGTCGACATTCTTTTCAATCATTCCTGATGCTGAAGTTTGGCAACAGCTCAGAAAACACTCACCCTTCTAAGGGCGAATACAAATCTAAGGAAGAAAATTAATTAAAATTTTTCCATGGGGCCAAAAGGGACACAGACACCCCCCCCCCCCACCCCCATTAGCATTCTTTAGAAAACCTACAATTGTGGGCTCTCAGGTCTCCTTGAAACCGATGCAAATCTCTTTAAAAGTCGAAGGACGTCCTGCGGGTTTGGCATCCCAGGAATGTCCCTCTTGGGGCCCCAGGCGATGGGGGAGGGGGTCCTGCCTCCTGTCTCTGTGGGAATTTTGCTGCACGAGTTAACATCCTGCTTGTTGCAAACACGGGAGAAGCTTTGCTTTTCTTCTGGATAAGAACTAACGTGTGTGTGATGGTCGCCCCTGCCCGCTCGGCCCTGTAGACAATGAGGTTCCTCCCGTCTCTGCATCTCCCAGTGGCTGCCTGTGACCGCCCCTCACATCCTGCTTTCCTGCCTGTTCGTGATAAAACGTGTTTTCTTGTCTGCCTTGGAGAGGCAGGTGTGTGGGTTGGTGGGACGCTTTATTTTTAATTATTTCCACGACATGACCTGGGGGAAAGCGAGACCTGGCAGCTGTGCACTCGCGCAAACACAGCAGATGGCGAATCTCACTGCCCTGCGGCAGAAGCGTCTGCTGGGCGTCAGCGCGTGGAAGAACCAGACAGGCGGCTTACAAACCCAGTAACACAGCTTTTAACATCGTGCGGCCGGAACATCCTGGAAGGGCAGTCCGTCCACACGCGCCCTGATCACGGCCCGCGAAGCGCCGAGCCGGCGGCCACCAGCCCTGCGCGGGGTGGGGTGGGGGGTGGGTGGGGTGGAGGGGGCCCCCAGGGGCGCTGCAGGCCGGGGAGGAGGGGGCCCAAGGGCGCGCGCTGCAGGCCGGGGAGGAGGGGGCCCCCAGGGGCGCCGCAGGCCGAGGCTGAGACGCCGCCACCCCGCGCGGTCACTGTGGGAAGAGCTTCCTGAACCTGCCGTAGGCCGAGTGGCTCATGATGACCGTCACGTCGGCGGCGCCGGCCTCGGGGATCACGTGCACGTCCTGCACCGCCGCCTCCTCGTGCAGCCAGCTGGGGGGGCGGGGTCACTCAGGCCGGCGGGGCCCCCACAGCGCGTTCCAGGTGCCCGCACCCGGGAGGCGCACCCCAGGCGCACGCCGACCTCCCGACCGTCGTGGGGACGCGCCCCGGGGCCCGGAACGTCCACCCGCTGCCTCCGCGCCCCCGCCCGCGCCCCGCTCCCGCCCCGCCGCCCGCCCCCGCTCCGCGCCCCGCCTGCCCCGCTCCCCGGCTCCCCGCACCTGAGCTGCGGCCCCGCCAGGCGCACGCGGAGCGTGAGGACGCGTCTCCCGGTGGCTCTCAGCACCGCCTCCTCCAGCCGCGCCTTCAGCTCCTCCAGCCCGTGTCCCAGGAGCGCGGACACGGCCACGTGCGGCCCCGCGGGGCTGTACCTGGGGGGGGACACCCGCTCAGCCGGGGCCACCGAGCGAGGGTCCCCACAGGCCCCGCCCCGGGCCCAGTGTGAGCGCTTCCGGCCCCCCGGAGAGGACGGGGTGCGCGCGTGCATGTGTGCGTGCGGCTGGGTGACACCGGGGAGCGGGGGTGACGGGGTCCAGACCCTCCGCACGTGTCCCTCTGGTGGCAGGACCGGCAGCAGCGGGGCAGGAGACGGAGCCGCCCCGAGGAGGACGCCCCCTGCGCCGGCACCGCGGCACCCCGAGGAGACGCTCCGGGCCGGGGCGGGCGCCACTCACCCGGGCACCAGGTCCGCCTTGTTGTGCACCTCCAGCACCGAGTCCAGCAGGGCCGCGGGCAGCCGCAGGCCGCGCAGTGTGGACAGGACGCTCGCTTTCTGCAGCTCCGTCTCGGGGTGGCTCACGTCCCTCACGTGCACGACCAGGTCCTGGGGACCAGACGGGCCAGGCGGTCGGACAGCTGGGGGCCACTGGCCCGTTATGTCCTCTTGGAGGGGAGCAGGACGGGCGTTGGTTGGTGATGAGGGAACTTGGTCCCCGGTTACACAGTGTCTGGGGGGCCCTGGGCCCTCCTTGTGCTGACAGTCGAGGTCACTGTCCCGAGACCACCTCACACTCACCGAATGGGCCACGTCCTCCAGGGTGGCGGAGAAGGACTCGATCAGGCCGTGGGGCAGCTGGGAGAGGAAGCCGATGGTGTCCATGTAGATGACGGTCATGCGGGAGGGCAGGGAGCCCGCGTGGGCCGTGACATCCAGCGTGGCGAACAGCTGATCCCGGGGCTGGATGTCGGCGTCACCCGTCAGCGCCTTGACCAACGTGGTTTTTCCTGGAAGTCGGGTCACAAGGGACGCAGTGCATGAGTGGCCCCTCACTGTCCCCACGTCCGCTGCTGGACGCGGGCCGGCCCGATGGTGTGGAGGCTGGGGGCGTGTGATGCGTAGGTGAAGAGCGACAGTGGCGTCAGGGTGTGTACCCTGTGTGTGTAAGAGGGCTGGGGATCTGTGTAGGCGGAGACTGATGGTGTAGACGGGAGGGGGTGGTGTAGACAGGACATGAACTGGGGGTGCTTTCATTTCTCCCTGGGCGGCTGAGACTCGGGGGCTTTGTGACGCTACAAGGAACCCCAGGTTCTGTCTCCTGCGTGGACTCCACGTAACATTCGGAGAAACCTTAGAGCGGACGTGAACGGCCACACAATAAAACCTGCTTTTATTCTTCAAAGAGCGAGTCTACCGTGAAGGGACTCAAATCGTGGAATCTTTCCTATTGCTCAGAGTTTGGAAACGTCCATAAGAGACACAGATCCCGCCCCCTATCTGGCACTCAACAAACACCAGCAACTGGCCGGGGTGCCGTGGGCCCCCGGACGCCCGGACGTGTGGTCACACTGGGCGCGCTCTCACTATCGCCATCTCCTGGTGAACTCTGCAGGTTGCTGTGTTTGCAAGCAGATTCCCCCAAAATCCC